GTTGATCTCAAGAATTGATAAGAATATTTTTAACTGGTTATCTTCAAGATCCTAGAAATAGAGCTTTTCCTTAAGTGACTAAACTGACGAACTAAATAGAAACTTAACACTAAATCCCCCAAAAGAGATTTTAATGGGTTTAACTCCAAATTCAAACAAACATTTCATAAGAAAGAAAGATTCACTCAAGAGGAAAAAAGAACTCTTGGTGAATTTACAATATTAATTTTTCCATAACAACTTCCTCACTTAAAACAAAAACCTTTACCAAAGCTCTATGGAAGGAAGAAGAATTGTAGATAGGGAAAGAGAAGGAGGAAGGTGTGATATCTCACGTTTATGCATGTGAAAAAAATGAAAGGGAAGACCTCTATTTATTGGCCAAAGGGTGGTTCAAAAGAGAAAATTATCCACAGGCAAAATTAATTACCTAATCGATCAGTTCTTTAATATAATCGATTAGATGTCACAAATAATTGATTATTTGTGTCCATTTTGGAAGGTTTGGACAGAGAGTTGTTATCCATTATTAATAAAGTATAAAAATCGATTATAGACTCTTTTTTACCTTATATATTTGATTATGTACATGGTCTAATCAATTAGACAATTCAAAAACATATTATAATCATTCTGACAGTTTCCAACTCATCTGCCTAGACTAAAAAACAATTTTAGGTGTTTTCCTTTGAAAAATAGAAGATTCAAAAAAAAGTTTTTGTGAGCATGTGATTTAGCTATATTACTTTACGAAAGCGCCCTTGTGTTCCTACAAAACACTAATCACTCAGACACGAACAAACAAACTTTCACACTTCCACAATCTAAAGCTTCTAATCTCTTTCTAAATGAACCAATCAAATAAGTAATTCACTTGAGTCTTTCTGGATATGAGACTTTATATATCTTCGAGTGAGACACCATCATTAGAGAATATTTTAATCAAGGGTAATGCTAACTTGTGCCTCAAGGGCACAAGTTAAGAACTCAATGTAGAAATAATATCTTGGAAATTGTGCATTATTTTAAATAAAAATAAAAAATTTAAATTTTTATTGATGTTTCCAATACAAACTTTCTATAAATGTATTTCTTAACTTGTGCCCCAAGGACACAAGTTAACATTACCCTTTAATCAATTATCTATTGCATCTTTGAACGCTTGAAACAATTTTAGCACTTACTTGTTTTTATGTTTTTATGTGTTATTGTGATCAAGGTTACCTTATATCTTTTGAGTTGCTATGTTACATCTTCATGAGTTAATACCGTCAAAACTATGATGTTGACATGTTTATGCATATGTTGCTTAACTTCAATCATTTCCTTATTAACCATGCAAGCACATATAGTTATTTGATGTTCCACACAAGATTTTTTTCTCAACAGTTCATTTCATTCAATCCATCGAAACTCTTAACAATATACATTTATTTTATTGGCAGTAAATGTGAAAACGAAAACAGAATAATATCTAAGATAGAAACATTATAAATTTGTTCATATAACCTTGATGGTCTACGTGCAGATGCAGAAACCCATCAAGAATCCCTTGGACTATGTCTTGTTCGTTTCTCTTTCCTCGCCGTCGCAATGAAGAACCTCTCCGGAGATATCTATTCACCTTCCTTTGTGCATATCCACCGCTAGGAATACAGTTAGGATGTATTTGAAACTTTAAATGGCCTCAAGCCCTTGCACAAAAAGGGTTGAAAAAGCTTCCATCTCATGCTTGTTCAAAGCCAAACCAATTTCAATTCCACCATTCTGATTCTTACTTTCACTTAGAGAAAATGCACCTGTTTTATCAGTTGAAGTCATATCAACTTTCTTAGGTTTTCCAAATCCAAAATCAATATCATAAACTTCAAACCTCGGTGATCCAGCAGTAGAATAGAGTTTAAACCTCTCCTTAGAGTTTAACATATTATGCAACCAATTTTCAGCCCCATCTAACACTCCATTTTTCACCTTATTCAAACCTTCATTAATCCCTTCTAAAGCATTTAAAAATCCATCTTTTCCTATTATCTTTTTTGTCTCAAGCTTAATGATATGTCCTACAACACAATTACCAAAATACATAGAAGAAACTGAATGTTCCAATCTTGTTCTACAGTCCACACTAAATATGAAACTCACTTTTTCATCCTTTGGTTTTTCTACTTTTGCTAAACATGATATCACATAAGCACATGTAACTGAAAAAGTTGACAGATTTATAACATTCATTTTCATCTCATTTTTTGCAAGCTTCTTAAGCTTTTGAATATTTGAAGGTGACAATTCAAATAATCTTTTAACTGCATCATTTTTCAAACTACTAGGAAATTCCCAAACCTTGAGACTTTTATTATTTGGTCCATAATGCTTCATCAAAGCATCAACATATGCTTCAGTGATTCCATTATAATGATCTTCTATCACTGATCTATCAAAACAAGGTGCTACATTTTCAAGGTTAGGGTTAGAACATGAAATATAGGACCATGATTTCATAAAATTGGTTGAAGATTTTCCATCAAAAGCAGCATGGTGTGTGGTTATTCCAATGCAAAAACCTTTGTTTGGAAACAAAGTGACTTGAATTGAAATCAAGGAAGCTTTTTCATGTGAAGTATTCAAAAGAGGTATCAAGTGATGTCTCTTTGAAGCTTCACAGTGATTTGAAGAAAGATCCTCGAAACTTTCGTTGGACTCAACAACGGTAAAGGAAACAGAATCGCCGCGAACATAGTTTATGATTGGTTTTGGTGAATCAATAGGCCAAATTATGTTGCCGGAAAGAGGGAGAAAAAGTTGAAGTGTGAGTGAAAGTGAGTATTTGAGATCTGGAAGAAGAGTTTGATAGAAAAAAGAGGGTGAGCTAGTGAGTTCATAGAAGAAGAGACGTTGAACAGGTGGAAATCTTAACCATAGAAGATCAAAGAAAGTTAAGGGAAGAGAGGTTGGTGATTGAGAAGGTTTTGTTGGTTCATGAAATGGTTCAACATTGCAAACTTCAATAACTTTGAATGATTCTTCTTGTTGTGCCATGGAGAAAGAAAAGAAAAAAAGAAAGGTGTATGACATAACAATCAATATCAAAACATTAATATATAGAGTTTAATTGACAGAATAATATCGTAATCATGCATACGTCGATCAATCATATCCAAATGAAAAGGCGTATATAAAATATCTTTACAACTATTACTATATAGTAATTAATTCCTAAATAATAATTTTAATTACTTAAAGGCTGTAATTGACTGATTTTATAAAAAAACTACTATTATATAAATGGAATCTTAATATATATAATAATTTTGATGATTAAGTAATATTATAAAGAAAATTATTTGATACTATGAACTTTTATCAGATATCAACACACATAAAATTAATCTAAAGTTTAAACTTATTCTAAAATGATTGATTTAAAGAACTTAATATGGAATATAATAGTTACTTACCAGGTAAGACATTATAATTTTATGATTTGTTGACCATTATAATAGAAATTTAATGAAACTTAATATAATATGAAAATGCTTAGAAGGTAAGACATTATGAAATTTATGATTTATTGAAATATGATTCTTTTTTATTCTAGAACGTGGAAAAATAGTTGGACAGGGAGAATTGACTTTTTATGTTTAGTCTTATTTTTTACAATGACTAATCACTTTTTATGTTTAATTTTATTTTTTATTAAGATTAATCGGAATTGGATCCTCTCGTACATTATGTATTCTGTCATCTCTCTAATGTATCTAATCTAACGATTAAAATATTAGGATGAATAATTAATTAAAAAAGACATTTAAGAGAGAATATCAATTTTAGTATCACTTTTAGATTTACATTTTTTACGTTAAATTTTAGTATCAATTTTAGTATCAATTTTAGATTTACATTTTTACGTCAAATTATAATCTTTCGAATTATAATATGCTATGTTATATTTTTTCTTCCTAATATTCTAGTAGCAAAGATGTTTTCTTATAATTTTCTCTAAATTGTCTGGGTTGCATAGATTTTTAAAAATTCATTAACATTGAATCCTGTCATTAATTCAAATTAAAATGATGTCTATAATTAAAATTAAATAAAAGATTATAATGAAATAAAGTCATAATCTCATTTCTTTTAAATAAAAATTACTATTAAAAACAACTTAACAAATTCGTCAAGTTTGAATCATTTCGTCTTAAATATATATTCTCAGTAAAATACTAACTATTACTAATATCTCCAATTTTTATTATAAAAAAAAATATAAATCAAAATTTAAAATCTACAACATAACAAAAGCAGTTAGAATTTGCATACAAGAAAGAACTTGTAAAACAAAAATAACCACTACATCCACACAACCCTTGGATGAAAACATTAACAGGTCATTATTGAAAATATGTCTTCTTCACTTCTTTACGGACTATTTAACTTTGTATCATCTCCATGAATATTTTTTTTATGATTAAAAAGACATAAGTTAATACTTAAAAAAATAACTTAAATATTGGCACACAAAAAACTTGAATAGATAGTAGAATTTATATAATTTTTAAAATTTACCATTAATAATTTAGTAAAACTGTTGGCACTAAATTGAGTTAAAGTGTTATTATTTTTCTGCATAAAACATAAAATCATTCAATCACTAAATATTTCTTGTTATGGTCACATACTCAATCTGATATTGGCTTACAATGGATGGTATGTTGTATAAATTATTGAGCCAAATAGATACACTTGAATTGGACACCTCATATTGAACTTGTATTTGTGAATCACCTATGTCATAATCTTTTCCTTTTCTTCTAAGTTGTGAATCACACCTTTTTGTTCTACATGACATAGAATAATAGAAAATATGAATTTTTGTAGTTGAGTAAAGATATCAATTGAATGAAATAATTCAACAATACCTGAATTTGTGAAGCTTTAGAGGCAACATTTTTCTTTCTTTTGGGAGGTTGAGATTCTACCCAACCTTTTGGACGTTTTGAAATCTTTTAGCCTTCTCTTTTTTTGAAGTCTTTTGCTTGTGCCAAATCATCATGGGTGCTTATAGACTCTTTAACTTTATCAATAAACTCATTCACCTGAGAAATATTAACTGGATTCTTTTGAAACTCTAGCATGTGCCTATCTAATTCATTAGTGTTTTTGCAAAGGAATGTGAATGCATCTGGACTTCTACATGCTTTATTGGCTATCCTAATAAGGCGAAGACAAATCTCTTTGTAGCGTTGTGCTGGGGATAAATCAACATCTTCTTCCACATAGCTAACATAAACATTACGTGAAGTCTCACTTCTAGCTAACTTTGTCCACCTTTTTAGGATATAATATTCTGGAATTGATTTGATATCCATATGAATAAAAACTCTCAAACAATGACAACAAAGTATGCCAAAACTCTCAAACTTACGACAAGAGCAACAAATTGAATTCTTATCCAAATCAAGTGACACTCGTCACTCACCCAAATTACTCTCCATGGCAATAACACAATCAATTAAAGGTGGTTGTATATCAATGTTTTTCATAGAGCAAGTTTTAAACAACTCATACTCGTGCTGGAATTGATCAAAAATACTAGAAGTATAAAGCTTAGACACTTATTGCAAGATTTTTGCATATGAGTTCCTTAGTCTTGGAATCTTTTGTTGCGCTTCATATTCACACTTTAATTCATTATATCCCTTTTCTTCTACAAAATCCAAAAAACGCTTAAAAAATTTGATTATATCCAAGTTCACATTCATAAATCCTTTAATACCCGCATTCACACTTTCACTAAGTTAAGTGCTTCTCATTCCTAATGTGAAAACTTTTTTCATGTAACATGATGTCCACTTCTCCTTTAAAGTGTACACTCTTTGCAACCAAGTGTTTTCTTTAACATCATAGGTTACTAGAAGATTTCTCCAACCTTCTTCAAATTGGTCTTCATTTTCATATTCATACATACACTTCTTAAAATCACTAAGAAAATGAGATTCACCTTTCATCAAATTTCCTAAGTGTTTGATGCAAGCATTAAGTGCCATGTACATAATCCATTTGAGTGCTTCTCATTCCTAATGTGAAAACTTTCTTCATGTAACATGATGTCCACTTCTCCTTTAAAGTGTACACTCTTTGCAACCAAGTGTTTTCTTTAACATCATAGGTTACTAGAAGATTTCTCCAACCTTCTTCAAACTGGCCTTCATTTTCATATTCATACATACACTTCTTACAATTATTAGAAGTAATTCATATTTATTAGTTGTACTATTTTCTTAGCCCCTAAGTTTGTTAGAGGGTATTTTAGTATTTTATCTTATTCTAGTAACCCTAGTTTTAGCTTATAAATAGGGTAGCAATCATTGCAATTTGTGTAGTGTGTGTAGTCGTCATTCTCTTAATAAAATATTTCTCTATTCATCATTTATTCTACCTTTGCACCAACAATTGGTATCTAGAGCTCCGGTTCGGATTCATTGGGAAACACGGGAAACACGAGTGAACGTGAGGTCTTGTGTGTTTGATTTTGATTCTTAGATTCATGTTGAATCTTGAACAAAATCTGATCAGAATTTTTAATTCTGTGGGTTGGGAAACACTGTGTGAGAAATCTGAGTGTACTGTGCAAGGTAGAAGATGAACGGAAACGGCAACATGAACACCAAACTTCTAGTATTTGACGGTAAAAACTGGAATCGTTGGATGATCCAAATGCGTGTACTGTTCGGTGCTCAAGATGTTCTAGATCTTGTCACTGATGGTTATGTTCCGGTAGCAGCAAATGCGACGGATGAACAGAAAAATGCACAGAAGGAAGTAAGGAAGAAGGATCAGAAAGCATTGTTCTTCATTCATCAATGTGTGGATGTAAATGTGTTTGAGAAGATTGTAGATTCAACAACAACAAAGGCTGCGTGGGACACACTGGTGAGATGTTATGGTGGTGACGCATCAGTGAAGAAGGTGAAGCTTCAGTCCTTAAGAAAGCAATATGAGAATCTCAACATGAAGAATAATGAGAAAGTATCTGAATACATCTCCAGAATGATTCTGATCACTAATGAGATGAAGGCGTGTGGAGAAACTCTTTCTGAAGAAGCAATCATGGAGAAAGTATTGAGATCCCTTACCCCTCAATTTGATTACATTGTGGTAGCAATAGAACATTCCAAAGATCTGAGCACCATGAGAATTGAAGAGTTGCAGAGCAGTCTAGAAGCGCAAGAGTTGCGTTTGACTGAGAGAACTTCTAAAAAGGAAGTAGAGCAGCAGGCTCTGAAAGCAACTTCTGATAGGAGGTATCAGAAGCAGTCAAAAGCCAGGAGAAGATCTGATGGTGGTCAGAAGTCAGAAAGCTCAACCTCTGATAGACAAAAAAAATGCTCAGAAGGGAAAAGAGAAGTATGACAAGAAGAAGATCCAATGTTACTGTTGTAAGAAGTTTGGTCACTTTGCTAGAGATTGTTGGTCAAACAAGGAGAGAAAATCAGAAGAAGCAAATATAGCCAGAAGTTCTGATGACAAATCTGTGCTATTGATGGCCTCTGAATCTGATAATATGGATCTGATAGACTGGTGGTATATGGACACTGGCTGTTCAAATCATCTTACTGGAAACAAAAAATGGCTGGTTGACTTTGACTCTGAAAAGAGAACAAAGATCAGATGTGCTGATGACAAATATCTTAATGTAGAAGGTATGAGAAATGTCAGAGTGATTCTGAACAATGGGAAAACAACATTGATTCAGAACGTGTGGTATGTACCTGGCATCAGAAGCAATCTGATGAGTGTGGGATAATTAATTGAGAAAGGTTTTTCAGTTACCATGAAGGACAATCTTCTGAAACTGTATTACTGCAATCAGAAGTTGATTATGGAGTCAGAACAGGGAAGGAATAGAACATTCAAGGTGAATGTCAGAACTGCAGACTCAGAATGTCTTAGTGCAACAAGTGCTGAGAAGGAGAGTGAGTTGTGGCACAGAAGATTTGGTCATTTGAATTTCAGAAGCTTAAAACATCTGAATTCAAAGAAGTTGGTACATGGAATTCCTGCAATTAAGAAGCCTGAAAAGTCATGCAAAATTTGCATGGAAGGAAAACAACCACGATTGCCATTTGCGTCAGAAGCTGCTCCAAGAGCAAAACATGCCTTGGGAGTTGTACATTCTGATGTGTGTGGTCCATTTCCAGTAGCATCAATTGGAGGGAATAAATACTTTGTGTTGTTTGTTAATGAATTCAAAAGAATGACATGGGTATCCCTTATTAAGTTTAAACATGAGGTGTTTGATGAATTCAAGAAGTTCAGAATGAAGACTGAGAATCAGAGTGGTCAGAAGTTGAAGATTCTTAGAACTGACGGTGGAGGTGAGTATAACTCCAAAGAGTTCCAGAAGTTCTGTGAGGAGAATGGAATTGAGCATGAGGTTACTGCTCCTTATACCCCTCAACACAATGGTCTTGCTGAAAGAAGAAACTGCACTTTGCTTGATATGGTGAGACGCATGTTAAAGGAGAAGAAACTTCCTCAGAAGCTCTGGGGAGAAGCTGTTGCCACTGCGACGTATGTACTCAACCGATGCCTACGAAGAAGTTGAAGGAAATAGTTCCAATACAGAAGTGGACTGGAGATAAGCAAAGTGTTAGTCATCTAAAGGTGTTTGGTTCTGTTTGCTATAAACATGTTCCAGAAGCCAAAAGACAGAAGTTGGATGATAGAAGCAAAGTGATGATTCTAATAGGGTACCGCAGTACAGGTGCATACAAGCTCTATTGTCCAGAAACCAATAAAATTGAATTCAGCAGAGATGTGATTGTGAAGGAATCAGAAGTTTGGAATTGGGATAAGTCTCAATCTGATTCTGATGTTAAAACTTCTGAAGAAAGGTCAGAGTTAAGAATTTCTGAAGTTGGAGTAAACTCTGACGTTGACTCTGACTCTGATAGTGATTCAGACTATGGAGAAGACTCAGAAGATGAAGGTGACTCTGATGATCCAGACTCTGATGATTCAGTGATGGCAATCCAGATTCTTGTGGCAATTCAGACTCTGGAAATATGTCAGACTCTGAAGATGGTCAAATCTCTGGAGGAAGTCAATCATCTGAAGCTAGAAACTCTGAAGCTCAAGACTCTGAACAAGTTCAGAGACCACAAAGAATAAGAAACGTCCCCAGAAGATATGCAGAATTTGACATGCTGCAAGACACTGAAGTAGACTCCGAAGGAGAAGTTATTCAGTGTTCCATGATAGTAGACTCTGAACCCATAAGTACAGAAGAGGCTCTTAATCAGAAGCTCTGGCTGAAGGCCATGAAATAATAACTTGATGCTATAGAGAGAAACAAGACTTGGAAACTGACAGAACTTCCAAAAGACAAGAAAGCCATCAGCGTCAGTTTTCAAGCAGAAGTTAAAGTCAGATGGTTCAATTGGCAAACATAAAGCAAGGTTAGTAGCCAGAGGATTTCTACAGAAACCTGGACTGGATTATTCTGAAGTGTTTGCACCTGTGGCAAGACATGAAACAATCAGAATGGTGATTGCAATAGCTGCTAATAGGAATTGGCCTCTGATGCATTTAGATGTAAAATCTGCATTTCTGAACGGTCCATTAGAAGAAGAAGTTTACGTGTCACAACCTCCTGGATTTATGAAAAAGAATCAGGAAGGGATGGTGTACAGATTATACAAAGCTTTATATGGACTGAAACAAGCGCCCAGAGCTTAGAATCAGAAGATTGATTCATTTTTCAAGAAGCAAGACTTTCAGAAATGTGAGATGGAGTACGGTGTTTATGTTCAACATACTTCTGAAGGCAATATGACTCTGGTGTGTTTATATGTTGATGACATACTGCTGACTGGAAGTTCTGAACAGGAGATAGCCAAGTTCAAGAAAGTTCTGATGAATGAATTTGAAATGACTGATCTAGGCAAAATGACATACTTTCTAGGGATGGAGTTCAGATATTCTGAGAAAGGTATCATTTTGCATCAGCTCAAGTATGAATTAGAACTTCTGAAGAGATTTAAACTGAAAAATTGTAAGATTGCTGTCACAACTTCTGATACAAATCAGAAACTGGATTCTGACTCTGATGGAAAGGATGTGGACGCTACAACCTTCAAACAGTTGGTTGGTTCTCTGAGGTATCTGTGCAATACCAGACCTGATATTTGCTATTCTGTTGGGATGGTTAGTAGGTTCATGAGTAAACCTAAATGGTCCCATTACCAAGCTGCTGTCAGGATTCTGAGGTATATCAAGGGAACTCTGAAGTATGGAGTGTTATTTCCTTCTGGAAGAAAGAATGAGTCAGAACTTCTGAGTTATTCAGATTCTGATTGGTGTGGAG